GGTGTCAGCCAGCAGGAGGGCGAGTTCCTCCTGCTTGTTGGAAGAAACAAAGCTCAGAAGCAACAGACTGTGCCTGCCTTGGAAGGTAAAACTAAGGTCACGAACATGAAGATAAACAGTCTTGATGGACAGATTGGATGGGGCTACAATACAGCCCAGAAGAAAAAGTATTTTCTGTTTCTAATTACGCATCTGGAGTGGTTAATAAACTCTATTTTGTTTCTAAATTTTTCTCTTGTAAGGACCAATGAAACAACTGAGGGAAATAAATCCAGAAGGACCCAGGTATGAGAAATGCCTGTACATCCTTTGGACAGAAATTTATATCATTGTGCTATGTTGAAACTAAATGCAAAAATATCTACTTTATGTAAGAAACTGCCGTCTTTGCTCATATTACAAAATGTGGACTGAAGGAAAGCACGTAGGTGGCACTTTAATCAGAAGGCACAAAACCATACCAAGAAATGAAAAAATCCAGGATATCATGGAAAGAAAAAAAACAGACCAACCAAAAAAGGGATGCTGAGTATAAAGCAGGGGTGGGCAAAATACGACCCATGGGCCAGATCTGGCCTGACAAGCACGTTCATCCGGCTTGCGGGACCCCCTGCTGCTGCACTATTGGGGGAGTGTGGGGGGATCCCCCCCCCCCAACACCCTTACCCTGCCCCAACAACCCCCCATATATACACAACCCCCACACACACCCCCACATCCTACCACACCCCCACACCACACATACCTCACAGACCACACCCACCTCACATACCACACCCACCATACACACCCCCCCATACCCCACACACACCCACGCCCACCATACACACACACAGCCACACCCACCATACACACCCACCATACATACACATATCACACAATATACAAAACGAAGAGCTTATTTTTGATTGTATACTAGGCAAACACAAATCATGACAAAATATTTTTTGTAATAAAATTAATATATGTTATAGTAGGTGTTTGATTTTTAGTGTATGATTTGATTTTTTTGGGGTTTTATGATGGCAATCCCACCTTCCCAAAAGGAGTATGGGGGGGGAGGGGGGCAAGAGGAGGGACTTCTGGTGGCAAAGGGCAGAGGTTAGGGGTGGGACTTCCAGTCCCAAGATGGTGGCAAGGCAACTGTCAAGGGGTGGGGATACCCATACGGTCCTCGATAGCTCACCAAAACTTGTTAAGTGACCCTCCACCTGAAATAATTGCTCATCCCTGGTTTAAAGAGAGCTCTCACTCCTGCTACCAGTGAAACCACTGGAGACTCATTAAAATAATTTTTCAAGGAACCTGGTAGACAAAACTATGAAGGAGAGTTCTGCTGGAAAGGATAAGAGTAGGCACTGGAACGACAGGACACTAGTAGGGAATGTACTTCTGCTACCCTATTCTATAGGAAAAAAGTCTGCCCGTATGCTATTTAGACTAAATATTGTTTAAAAACTATTCATTTAACCTCCTCTAATTATACCGATTAAATAATTAATGGATAACACAGCACCTCAGACACAGCTGCTGCTGGGAGCTGCTCCTGGCTCCCAGGGCTGTTTGACTGGGGGAAGAGGGGCGGGAAGGGGTCAAGCCTAGCCAGACAACACAGCCCAGGTGAAGTCCTGTGCTAAGAGGGAGGGAGCACCTGTGAAGAAGCAGCTAATCACTTAATTGATGAATCATTAAGCTGTTCCTGTTTTCCTCTTAGGCTAGGGGTACTAGTCCCGCTTCCTCTCCCCCTTCCCCTCTCCTCCTGAGGGCACTGCTGCCACCTGATCCCTGCTGGGGTACTGTGTGACTTCCCTTGCCTGCCAGACTGTGCCAGCCCCAAGCTAAAGGATAACTGGTAAGCCAACCAGTCATCACTGAACTTATTGGTTAAACAATTAATCATTTAACTATTCACATCCCTAGTTTAGACCCTTTTAGCAAATTACGGCTGATCTATTTAGTTGTTGTAGTTTTCTTATTTTATTATTGCAGTTCTACTCAAGGTCTTGTATAAAAGAAAAAAACTAGCAGGTTGATATATGCATTTTGTTTTGGATAAAAAAACTAATTGTACTTGATGTATATAGTTCACTCTGTTACTAAAATATGGAGCTATGGAGTTCCATATTTATTCTCTAAATAATGTAAACATTAGATGTTTATTTCACAAAATATAGGGACAGCAAGAAAGAAGGTTATAAACTCATTCATAACCTGGGAGTGAAATAGGACTCTCATACATCACCCTATGTGATAAAGATTCTGTAAACAGGTATGCATCTTTGCCAATTTTCAAATGAAAACTGGCAAAGATGCACATGAAATAAGATCTCTTTCTGCCCTCCCCACCCCCCAACACATTTTTTTTTCAGTCTTGGCTTTGCAGTACTAATATGAAAAACATTATTTGTCATTAATGTAAGCAGATTTGAGCCTAAATATACACAAGGAATAGATATGGTTACCAAGGTGCCATTTTCAAAGTCACAAGTCACTGAATGTTAGTGGAGTGCAATGAAAATGCTGAAGAATCTAGGAAGTTTACAAATTACAAATAGTTAATTAGCTATATTTGTTTGCTGAAAGCTTTACTTTTTTCCCTAAAATACTACATGGACTGAAAAAGTAATTTAATTGCTTATGCCCAGTAGCATTGCCAAAGATTTATTTTGAGTTTCCTGGACCACTTTTTTTTTTATTTTTGCAACAGTGTACAATGTAGTTTACTGAAGATTACAGTTTTCTTTCCCTAGAGTTAAAAAGTCTTCATAATTAATCACTACCTTTCTCAACTACAAAGCATGCTTATATTTGAAGGAAAAATGTAGCATGTAAGAAAAAAAATTGTCAAAAAGTCTTTGGGGTTTCTTTAATTAAAGAACATACATTAATTTTTTTAAAGAAAGTTTTACCATGTGCTTGTGCTCTAGGAACAAATAATGTCTTTTTTAGGAGCAGGATTATTTATTTTCCCACATTGAGCAATCCCTTACCCTGAACTACTGCTAAGAGTTTTACTCAAATCTATGACCCTATTTGCAAACTGAATAGCAATCTTTCATTAAAAAAATAACAATAACTATAATGATATATTTAGCAACATAGTGTAATTATATTGGAGAGGATGTTGAACTAAAATTTGAGAAGTGAGCTGTCATACATCTTTGGGGCATCTTGAATCATATGAAAATTGGTGCTTTTCTTAAATTTACAGTTCCTGAAGTCATATGAATAAATAGGAAGCTTCTTCCCCACCCTTCCCATAAAAACAATTTTTAGCCCTCTTGATTCCAGTGAAAAGAATGAAATGCTATGCTAGGGTACCATAAAAGTTCAAAAAG